GCTGGGAACAAGAAGAACAAGAAAGTGGAAATAAAGTTTCCACCCTTTGAATAGATAGGTAGATGTAAGAATATGCCTGTGTAGAGACTTCTGAGTGAAATGTTATTTTAGCCAAAAAAGAACACCCTACAGAGATGAAAACGGCTTCAATCAATCATTTAGAGCAAACTGAGCTGCTCCATTCAGTTTGGTATTCTCATTACCCGTGACCCCAGCACCAGCATGTATGCAGCCATGCCCACTCCTAGTTCTCCTGGCAGATCTCAGCACTAGTACAGTGTGAGCTCTCAGGTTGCTTTTCTGCCTCACCACAAGTGACAGCCTTTTGCCTCTGTCTCCCTTGTGAAATGCTGTCTTGCACAGGAAAAGGAGATCAAACACATCCACCCTGTAACATACAAACAGAGCCAGGATCTGGCAAGTGAGGGGCTGCCGGAATATCAGCAGAGAGAAGATTCTGCTGCAGCCTAACAAGAAGGTCCTGGCCCCAGGCTGCTCCCTCCTGGCTTGTTGCATCTGAGCAGCGGTGCTGCTCCACTCTGTGCAGCTGCTTCCCATATCCTACATCCCTCTGCTACTGCTTTCTGGTTTTTGATGCTTAACTTCAAGCGGTACAAGTAGCCTGTAAAGAACAGTGGAGCATACACCAAAGGAAAGAGCAAAGGTGACTGAATTGCACTGTTTGTAGGTAAGAATGAGCAAATACTGATCAACTGAGGTGCCTCTGACTGGCAGAGCAATAGCAAACAGAGGAAGTGGTTTGTTTTAATAGACAATGTGATCAAAATCTCTGTGAGGGCCGTAAAATAGAGAGCAGCCACTGAAGTGATGACCATTGAGGCATATGGTATCTAAATTAACAGGGAGCGTAGCATCTCCCAGGAGGAGGTCATCAGGGTATCGCGAGGCTGGGGCAGAAGGCTCCTTTTGTCTCTTCCTACATTAAATTCCTGAGATAAGGTAACACCATACTCATATGGAAAACCAGATAAAACTGGAAACGCAATGGGTTTTTTTGAGTCTTTGACGCCAAGTTTAATGGATAAGGCTGTGCACATTGCTGGAACTCTTGTTATCCTTTCTGGGGAGGGTGGGAAGAACTACCTCTAATCCCTCTGTGTGATTTCTAAATCTTGATTTAAGAGGGATTTTGATTACCCTGTTCTCTTATAAACACTGTTTAACTTCTAGAATGCAAATGATCTTTTCCTTAATTTAGAGCCAAGTAAATGAGAACAGGCAGGAGAAATTCATAAATCAACTGATAACTATATCTCATTAAAGAGAATCATTGGCACTATGGAACAGCTTCTTTCTGAATCACTGCATGTGCCAAGTATTCTTAGCGTGAAAAATGTAGCAAAGCATGAGGCTGCCTCAGTTCTTATGGGCAGCAACTCCACTCACTGCTGTATGAATTCTGCTGTGGCACAACTCTGTAGTTGAGTGTATCACTACAGATACTTGGTTGTTTTGTTTGTTTGTTTGTTTGTTTGTTTCTCCAGCCTTTCTTATTTTAAGATGAAAAATGTGGGAAAATGGTCCCTTTTGGTTGCCTGTGGCCTCCTGAGAAGCGATTAGTGATGCTCAATAACAGATTTCTTCTGAATCCCATTATTTGGGTTTGGATCTCATATGACAGAGCTGTGCCATTTGGACACTGGAGTCCCAGCACTGCAGCATCATAATCTCTTTCTCTCTCACATTTCCCAGCATTAAGAACTGGCTATTTTAGACTAAGGGATAGGTAATTTAGATTAAGAATGCATTTCCATTTTATTGCATTATCTGTCCTTAACCACAGTGCTTTCTCTCTTTCGTATATTATACGTGATACTCTCTGCTCGGTAAAGCTAGAGTATGGGGCTTCCTGCACGTAGGATGATAAACAGGGATGTGAGATTTACTGAGGGAGAGAAGCCTGATAGAGTACCCTATTCTGCTTGCCCTCCATCTCACATGTTCTAGAAGAGTGAGGAATATGCTGCTAGTTGTTGGGCTGGAGCTGGAGCCATGGCCATGCTGGTGGCCCTGCCTCTGAGACGAATGCCCTTTTTCCTCTCCTTGTCCTGTGTTCTCAAAACAGCTGGCCAAGCAGTGCAGCCCTGGGTGAAAAGGGCTTACTGAAGAGTGATGTGAAATGTGACTCATGGCCAGTTTAGGATGATGGTTTGGCTTGGCATGACCAGCTAGTGGGACATGTCTCAGCTGGCACTCTCTGGTCACTGCTGCTTCACTCTGGGGTCCTGAGCTCAGGGCAGAGCTGGGATGGTTTGGTGAAGAGTTTCATGAGCAACAGCCTGGTAACGTCTGAGAGGAAGGCAAGGGGTTCCTCTTTCTAAACCCGGTGCTGCTGTGTGTGTGGCCACAGATGTTGTCTTGGAAAGATGGGATGGAAATTGGCCCTGCTGCATAGAATATAGCAAGAACATATTTGTGTTTGTATAGCAGGGTAGAAAGCGTAAGACAACTGCCATATACATTTGGAATCATTTTGCTGATACTAATTTATTTCTATGTAAATTTTTGTTTGAATAGTTTGCATCATTTATGCAGTTACCTGCACCAGTGAGGCATCAAGGTTTGAAGTAAGATAGAAGCAAACCATGCACCACATTTCTGAGAAGACCTTTTTGTCCATCCTCCAGGGCTGCTTTTGTATATTTTTCTGCCCAACTAAGGTGAGAGTTCTTTCATCTTCATAGCCAAAGCTTTTCCCAGATCTCCTTGGTACCCCAGGCCCACGTCAGCAACTGTGTGATGGGCCAGTGCCACCCAGAGCCAGAGCTCACCCAGTGCCTGCAGTGCTGGGGCCCCAGCAGATGCCAGCAGCCAGGCCAAGACCTGCTGGCTGCTGGCTGTGTGCCAGCTGTGCTGGGGCTTGCTGCCTGCTGGGAGCACACCACTGCCGTGAGGACCACTTCTGGCAGTGCTGGGAGTACTTTGAGGTTTGGTTTTTCCGCTGGATTCATCTCAAAAGCTCTCCCCATGTTGGTGAGCACTCACCCACGTGGTGTCAGTAGGCACAAGCACTGCCTGCTTTTCACTAACATGTATGCATTGCTGGAATAAGCTACCTTACAAGTTTAGAGTGTCTAGGGAGGGTCTCGAGGCTGTTTCCCTTGGCAGCACCTCCTTCCCAACACACCGTCATTCCCACTCGGCTTTTTTTTCCCACCTTTTATTTCTCCTCAGAGAGTCTGTTCAGAGCACTCGCACTTGGTGAGAAAAAGTATGGGTTTGTGGGGCACTCCTCTTCAGCAGCAGTCTTTGAAGAATTCGTTGTTTCAGAAGTGACTCCTGAAATGCTGAAAAACACTGCTCTTAGAAAATGTATTTTTGGCACCTAACTGTTGTGCAATGACATTACGAGCTCATGGAGTAACAGGTGAACTTTTGCAGTGCTGGATCAATCCACTGAGCCAGGGCAGTGTGGCAGCCGTGCCATCACCCCAAGCGTGGGCTGAGCAGGGCTCTTCTGCGCAGAGACAGGCAGTACAATGAATTACGAGACCCGGTTTTGAAACAGTTCGCTGCTGGGCCTCCCGCCCGCCACGGCCGTCTTGTCGCAGCGCTCCCGCCGTGCCAGTGGCCCCCGGGCGTTACGCGGCTGCTGCGGGCAGGATGTGACACAGGGTCGGGTTCTGCTTCTCCCCGGTACTCCGCGCGGAGCCGTGGGAGAGGACTCGGCGCTTTAATCCCTTCAAAAGACAGCGGCCTAATTCAGCTCTACGACTCTTGGAAGTCTTTGAACGGACGGCGATTGTTTCCACGGGAAAGGCAGATAAGGATCTCTGTGCCAGCGTTTAAAGGGCCTGCGGCGGCGGTGTGAATGCAATCGCACCCGACGGCCGCGGGGAGGATCGAGTTACCCGGACTGACGGCTTCGCAGGGCCGCTGCCCGGCGCTGCCCCGGCCCCGGGGGGGGTGCGGAGGGGCTCGGAGCTCCGCCCGCCCGCAGCCCGGGGCCGCCCGCAGCCAAAGGCGCTGCCGGGAGGGACTCTGCCTCCGTTTAAGGGAGCGCGGCGGTGGCGGTCGGCGCCCGCTGGGTGAGAGGAAACTTTTCCGCGCCTCTCCTCTGCCGTCTGCCGCTGCCTGCTTGCCCGTGCTCTTGCGGCTCCGGGCCCTCCTTCCCGGGCCCCGCCCGGCCCTCACCCGAAGTTCCCCAAAGGCTGCGAGCGGGGAACGCTCGGAGCTCGGTTGGGGCATCCCCCGAGGGCGGGAGGCTGCGGGGGGAAGTTCCGCAGCCCGGACCTGGTAGACCCGCTCAGGTGGAGAGGCCGCACTGCGGTGTGATCTCGGGGGCGGCCGGAGGTAGATCTCGGGCGATAACAAAGCCACATTGTCACCTCGGGGCTGCGCCGCAACCCCTTAATTGCGGGGAAAAAAAAAAAAAAAAAAAAAAAAAAAAAAAAAAAAAAAAACAAAAAAAAAAAAAAAAAAAACAGGAAAAAAAAAAAAAAAGAAAACCAGAAAAAAGCCCAACACGAGGAGGGAGGGGGGATCCGGTGTCTCGCGCATCCCGCGAGAGGGTCTCCAGGCGGTACGGGGTCCTTTGATCAAGAAAATCCAATTATTTGTGTATATACATTTCCCACATAGTGATTACTTCATTAATTGTCCCGCCTTTATCTCCTCCCTTCCCATCCCCCCTAATAATCAGTTCTTTTATCCCGACCAACAAACACACCATAGGAGCTTTGTGGATTCAAAGGATTTGCTTTCGCTTCTGAAAGAGCCGCTATTCTTTGATGATTGGGTAGCGGCAAACTTCAAAGCCATAAATCTTCCTTCTGACTGGCTGGCGGCCCAGCAAAGTCCTTATCAAATTCTTGGAGGTGATCCCGGCGCAGGCAGACGGGCCGCGGAGATCGGCGGCGCGGGGCGGGCCGGGCGCGGAGGCGAGGCCGGAGGGCAGCGCGGCGCGGCGCAGCGCAGCGCAGCGCAGCGCAGGCGACCCGGCAGTCCCGCGGAGTATCCATGCCCCGACGGGGCGCCTCTCTCCGGGCGCAGTAGCCATGGCCGCGGTCGCCGTTCTCCGCAACGACTCGCTTCAGGCTTTCCTCCAGGTCAGTGCCAGCGCCCGAGGCACCTCCGCGCGGGCTGACGGGCGGGCGCCGGACGGGGCTCCTCGCCGAGACTTGGGCCGGGGCCGCCCGCCGGGAAGGGCTGCTCCAGGCGGGGCGCGGGCCGTACCGGGCGGGGCGAGGATGCCGCTCTAAGGAAGTTTCTCGGCGGCGCGGCGCGGGGCGCGGCGGGGGCTCTCCGGGACGGACGGGCGGGCGCGGAAAGTTTCGGTAGGGCGGGCGGCGGCGAGTAACGCGCTGTGCTTCCCTCCCCGCGCCCCGACCGCCGCCGCAGGACCGCACCCCCAGCGCCTCCCCGGACGTGGCCAAGCACTCGCCGCTGGCCCTGCTGGCCGCCACCTGCAGCCGCATCGGACAGCCGGGCGCCGCGCCCGCCGATTTCCTGCCGGTGCCCTACGAGCCGACGCTCGGATCTCCCTCCAGGATCTTCCACCCTTGGGGCGGCGAGATGCCCGCGCACTCCCCGGGGGGGCTGCCGCCGCCGCACCCCAGCCTGGGGCTGACCCCGCAGAAGAGCCACCTGCAGCCGTCCTTTGGGGGGGGGGCACGAGCTGCCCCTCACGCCTCCCGCCGACCCCTCCTACCCCTACGAGTTCTCCCCCGTCAAGATGCTGCCCTCCTCCATGGCCGCGCTGCCGTCTGCCTGCCCCCCCGCCTACGTCCCGTACGCCGCCCAGGCCGCGCTGCCGCCCGGCTACTCCAACCTGCTGCCGCCCGCGCAGCCCTGCCGCCAGCTCTCTCCCAACCCGCCGCCCGAGGACCTGCCCTGGTGGAGCATCCCGCAAGCCGCCGCCCCTCCCGGCTGCGCCCACCGCTTCCCCGCCGCCGCCGCCGCGCTGCCGCGGGGCCTGGTGCTGGGCCACTCGGACTTCGCGCAGTACCAGACACAGATCGCCGCCCTGCTGCAGACCAAGTCTCCCCTGGCGGCCACGGCCAGGAGGTGCCGCCGCTGCCGCTGCCCCAACTGCCAGGCGGCCGCGGGCAGCGCGCCGGAGGCGGAGCCGGGCAAGAAGAAGCAGCACGTCTGCCACATCCCGGGCTGCGGCAAGGTGTACGGCAAGACCTCGCACCTGAAGGCGCACCTGCGCTGGCACACGGGCGAGCGGCCCTTCGTCTGCAACTGGCTCTTCTGCGGGAAGAGCTTCACCCGCTCCGACGAGCTGCAGCGGCACCTGCGGACTCACACGGGCGAGAAGCGCTTCGTCTGCCCCGAGTGCGGGAAGCGCTTCATGCGCAGCGACCACCTGGCCAAGCACGTCAAGACGCACCAGAACAAGAAGCTGAAGGCGGCGGCCGACGCCGTCAAGCGGGAGGATTGCCGCGACCTGTGACCGCCGCGGGCGCCCGGCGGGGCGGCTCCGGGACTCGCACCGCGCACGGCGAGCGGGAGCCCGGCCGGGGGAGCCCGGGGCTGCGGGGAAGGACGTTCGCAGGGCCCCGCGGCCGCTGCCCCGGGATGGGCGCCGCTCCTAAGGCCGTCGGGGCGGAAGCGGGGCAGCCCGCGGCCGCGCTCGGCGCTTTCAGGGGAAAAGACTGACGTTCCGTGTACAGGTTATTTAACGGCTCTGTTTAATACAAATGTTTCCTCCCTCGTCCCGGCTCCGCGCGGGGCCTCAGCATGTTTCTGTACAGCGACCCGCGATTGCAGCGTGAAAATAAATACGTTAACACTGGGGTCAGTAGGGAGGTCCCGCCGAGTCGGCGTCCTTTGATCGCCCCAGGCCCCTGCCCCGCCCCGGGGCCGCCGCCTCCCACCCACCGGGGAGCGCCGGGCGGGCGGGGCGGTGGGGGCTGCTCGCGGTGGGCGCCTTCCGCAGTCCCGGCCTCTCCCAGTCCGCGGCGGCCCCTCGGGCTCTGTTCAGTTAACGACGGTTGGACCGCGAGCGCGGAAGGGGACCGCGCCGTCCGGTCCGGACCTCAGCACCGGGCGGGAACGGCCGTCGGAGGAGCGCGGGCCGCGTCGCTCAGCCCCTGCCTGGCTGTGGCTGAGGCGCGACACGGCGCACCTGTCTGCAGAGCGCAGGATGTGAGGGCACAAGGCTCGCTTTCCTCCCGGCGTTCGCCCCAAACTGTGTTTCAAGTTAATTTTTGTGGGCAGCCACAGCCTTTGGGGCCTCCTGTGTGCCGTCAGGCATCGTGTGAGTTCAGGCATAAAACTGTGAGAAAATATGAGGCTTTTTACTGTAGCAAGTTCTCTACTTTTGTAACTGAAAATGGTGTGAAACAAACCAAGAGGATCCTACTTCATGTTGCTTTTTAAGATAGCAACTGTGTTATTTCATCCCCAGGCCAGCTGTGCTCCCTGCATGCCCACAGACCGGAGCTCACAGTGCCCGGCTGCAGAGCTGCGTCTGCACAGTAGCAGGCTGGGCAGCGCTGGTGGTGACGGGGCGCGCAGGACAAGTGTGTCTGTGGGGGTGCTGGGACTGGGAGGGAGATGTGCTCTCAGGGAACAATGAGATGAGACGATACCACTAGAACACTCACCTCTGAAATAATGAGAAGTTAATTGATAGTTTCTATGGTACAGCTATTTGACAATATCACAGTGGTAATCATTCTGAATTCATTTCTGTCACCATGTTGTTAGGGTCAAATTATTTAATTAAGACCTGATTTGTTATGTTCTTTACTACTGCAGAACCTTCTATGACCTGTCCTGCCACAGCAAACCCTGTGAGAAACACTTCTGGGTTGCTGGTTGGCATTCAGTGCCCAGCATTTGGTCCCCAGAAGCATGCTGGGGGATAGTGAGGTGCCTTTGGTATTATGGAGTGAGTGACGGCAGGGGAGGCAGTGACAGATGGGCCCGGTTCAGGAGTCCTTACTCCTGAAAGTCATTGAGACAACAGCACATCCCGTTTACAACTGTCTCTTAAATATGTCATCAGGAAAAAAACATAATGCTCCTGCTTTTCAGAATGTTTCCTGGCACGCAGAGACAGCCTCCTTCATTGCTTTGAGATTTAGTTACAGAAGGAATGTAATGTTGCAGAATTCAAGGCTGCTGTAGAAAAGGGCCTCTTTCAGTAAGTAGTCTTTCAGTTCTGTACACAGATCAGATGTGCCTCAAACGGACAGTAATGGGAGAGCTTCTGTTTGTAGCTGGGGAGGAGTAGTGGTATCCCAGAGTGCAAAAGATCTTCTTACAGGATGGGATAATGGCTCAAAGGCGGCCATGGTATAGCAGCCTTTCTCTGCTACACTAAGCACCCAGACCAAGGCAAAGTATTAATGTAAGGTGGAGCAGCGTGTTGGCTGCCTTCTGGCACAAGTTTAGCCTGAATAGGGAATGGGGAGCAGCACTGGGACAGCAGATAAAATAGCCTGAAAATCACATCTAAGCTGGGCCATTATGGAAACCTGTTCTCCAGTGAGATGAGGAGCTGAGGTACGCCTACCCAGCGATCTGTGCTGACAGGTCTGGCCAGAATCTCTGGGGCTCTAACTCACTCCTCACAACAGGACTGGTACCAACGCACCGACACTTCCACTGCTCGCTCGGTTGCTGCAGGCTCACACTTCAGGCATTAAGCAGGAAATTACCACCTGGGCAGTGCCAGCATCATGCTTGGAGGTGGGAGAGGTGCTTGATTTTCTGTATAGACATGTTGTATTAATATTGTACCCTCGTACCTTGTATAGTGTCCACATGATAGATATATTTACAGCATGAGATTGCATAGGTTGAAAATGTGTACAACCAAAACAAGTTCAGTGCCTGTTAGAAGAGATGCATTTCATTGAAAATCTATGATGTCAAATGCTAATTCAAATCTTAATCTCCAAGTTAAAAAAAAAAAAAAAAAGATAAAAAAAACAGCAACAACAAACATATACTAAAATCCCACAAAATTATGGAAAAGTAGAAAAGTAGGCATCCATGGCACAAGGTAAGTGAAAGTAGCAGTTTGAATTTAATGAAATGTTATGTCAGTACAGCTTTTAAACTGTTCATTGGAGACAGAGGGCAAATCTGCCAGAGCTGTTTCATATTCGTCTCTAAATAGCTAAATCATATGATCACTTTTCAATTGAAATCGTTCAACTTTTATAGTAATATGGCATTTAAATCTACATGACCTTTCTGATGTGTGGATAGAGCATTACAAAAATATATTGCTTACATCTCAGGAATGTATTTCTAGTTGGCAAATTGCACTCTATAATAAAATTAACTTTTAATTTTGCATTCACAAAATACGTTTTACACTTTTAGCTGTTTCCAATCAACTAGAACAGCTGTTCATTTTATCAAATTAAATGATTAATATTCTTCTTTATCACACAGTTTGAGTACATATGCTGCTCAAGGTCAATTCAGTCCTGAATTTTAAATCTTAATGTCATTGGTAGAATAGACACATCAAATAAACTAATTCATCTCAGAGTTAATTGAAATTAATTAAACTTTACTCAAAAAAAGAAGCTGTAATACAACTTAAGAACTTAAGATTGGGCACGTTTGCTGTGTTAAGAAGTGGCCTTTGTACTCTGCTTTTAAGCTGACAATATTAACAGAACTTTGCTCTCCAACCATTATTTTTTAATATATTGTTGTCCGGTTGTTTTTAATTAAGGGCAAAATCACATGAGCCTAATCTGGGGCTTCATCTCAACCAAGTTGCCATGTTGGTTTGAATCAAACTGTCACCTGAGTGGGGGCTGCAGAATTCACCTTCCGGTCCGCACTGACTGGATCCTCACTGCAATAGTGCAACAAGAGTATAAAACTGTATTTCATGGAACAAGATAAAAATAGAGGAGTTCCTCAACTACTACTGTGGGATAATAAACATAGCTGTCAAGGGTCTTCTTTCTAGGTACATCAGAAGATGAAAGAAAATGTGTTGTTCATAAGGTAAGTGAAAAGGACAGAACGTGGGGTCAGAGTGATGCTTTTGTTTCAGGAAAGGTAAAGGGTTTTCTTTTAAATATTTTGGTGCTAAAATGTGCTTTTATAATATCAGAAAACCATCAGCTCTGGCTGAAATGGTAATCCTTGCTCCACTGATTACATACTGAGAAATCCGCTTTAGTAAGAAATGGGAAATTTTGCTTGAAATCAGTATGAGAACGTAGGCCAGTGGGGCTAAGATACCTTAGGCAATTTTTAACATTGTTCTGGGTAGATCCTGTCTCATAAGTGCCCCTATTTCTGTGTCTGGACACCACACCACACAGCTCCATTTATTTCTTATTGTAAGTTTCTGTCTCCACTCACTGTTGCTATGATGCGTTTGTATATTTCTGCTGGATCCCAAAGTCACGTGCTAGCGTTTCTTTCAACCTACAGTGTGAGACATGCTCTCCCTAGAAACTCACAGCGGGATCCTTCTTTTCATACTAAATCATAGGTGTATTTTTATCTTTTTTTTTTTTTTTAAACGTTAAATTATTTGCAGATTTTGAGAGATTGTATGAAGTTTTACAGTAACTACAATGTAACTTTCAGTTTGTAAATTTGCACTTATCTCTAAAATTAATAGTAAATACTGAAGAAGCAGGGGATATAAAATGAAGATGTTGAGACTTTCATATCAGACAAAATGTACGTGTTGCTACTGCTCAGTGATATTGCAAGTGCGTTGGTAGACATCTCAAGTTGCTTGGTGGGGTAAATCCCTCTCTCTGTTCAGGTGGTTACAGGACATTTTTAGGCACTTCTTAATCAGCCTTGTTACATTTTGTAGATCTTGTCAGCCTATCCCAGCACTGAGTGGGGATAACCATAAGAATAATGCCGAGTTTGTTATCAGATCTTACCACTTTCAGTTTCTCTGATTATTTCCTACGTCTTATGAGATTCTTTTGAATTCCCTGATAGAGATGTGTGCCCCACCAGTCTGGTATGTGATGGAGTCACTTCGTAGATTTTCCTCGCAAGCTTATTAAAAATACTTACACAAAAGAATCACCTTACAGGTACCTTCAGTAGCCTTGCATGTAAGCTGCACGGAGGACCAGGAGGTGTCAGACAATCAGCCAGGCTCCCAGTCCTCAGGTAAGTGTCACAGGTGTCAGAAGGATCCAAAGCCCTGCACTGGTGGGCTGAATGGTTTTGATCACAGCAAATCACTAGCAGAGTTGTGTATAATTCAGAAGGTTCTTTTTAAAAAGATTATTGCTTTTCTTTCTTGTTAATATTCTCTCCCATCTGATTTCAAGTCATACAGGGTGTGTTCATTTATGGGTAACAAAAACTGAGTTCTGTCCTTGTTACTGTGACAATTCAGAGGGAGATTATGGATAGTGAAATCTGGCCTTTGACCTGGAGGTCACTGTTTTTGATTCTCACCTCTTAATTTTGTTGTGGAAGACATTCACTGAA